AAGTGGTTGCCGAGCAACACACAAATGTAAACAAAGGTGTATGTTACTTTGTAGAGTCATTTACAACAGCTTCGAACGGGGCTCAGCCAATCAGAATCAAGCACCGGAACTATCTGTTTTATAACCAATGTTTTTAATTGATATATTTAAATGGGCATTTCAAATTGATTCAGTAAATGATGGTAGTCTGCTCGATTCATCAACTCGAATTAATCAAATTGACTGTAGCAGCATTTTTGTTTTATTTTGTGAAACCTTACTACGTATATGGAATAACCGTTTTATAAAAGCAATAAGCCCCGTGTAGCCGTGGTTTACAGTGAATTTATAACAGCTAAGGGGCGTTGTTAAGTACGACGCGAAGCGGAGTTAAACAGAACAAATAAAGTGTAATGATATTAATAAAAACAGTATTCTTCCACCAAACAATGTAGCTCCTCAGAAACAGTTGTGGTTGCAACAAAGTGGTTGCCGAGCAACACACAAATGTAAACAAAGGTGTATGTTACTTTGTAGAGTCATTTACAACAGCTTCGAACGGGGCTCAGCCAATCAGAATCAAGCACCGGAACTATCTGTTTTATAACCAGTGTTTTTAATTGATATATTTAAATGGGCATTTCAAATTGATTCAGTAAATGATGGTAGTCTGCTCGATTCATCAACTCGAATGAATCAAATTGACTGTAGCAGCATTTTTGCTACTTAAGCTTTAATCGGATGTTTACATTTGATGCTATTAGAAAGTCTCTGAATGCTGATGAAGATCACGAAACCTAATGATGTGATTTTTAATGATCAAATAAAAAGAGCTTAAAACCATGATGTTTGCTCATGTGCATTTGTCACCAGTAAGATCGCTGTGAATCTTGTGAATGTATCGAACTCTTGCTGGGATTGATTAGTTGACGCAGGTTTGGTTGTTTCTCAGGGATGGACGGGCCGGGATGCAGCAACATGAACCGCATGAGTGGTGAGAGTCACGTTCATCTGGAGCAGATCCATCAGAGATCATGTGAGGACGCTCATCTGTGTGTGTGTGTGTGTGTGTGTGTGTGTAGGGATGGGCGGAGGCTTCTCCGGCATGGACTGCATGGGTGGAATGGGAGGATTCGGTGGCAGAGACATGGGACCCATGGGCCGAATGGGAGGTAGACATCAATCCTTCCTTCAGTCTGTCTGTCTAACAGACATTAATCTAATCACATGTATTTCTGTTGGGTCGTTCTGTCTCAAACCAACCACATTTCAGAAACCTTCCTGGCTCAATTTTTTCTAAAGAAAGACAAACATAAAGAGTGATGAAAGCCAAAATATGAAATGTCATTGGTGTATATTTACGGAGTAATCCAGTATTTTGTAGAGGAGGGTTGATATGACAATTTTACCTGAGATTTGGAACCAAGTTACATGAGGGTAAAAATGACTTAAGAAAGATGGCAGCATCATTGTGTTATTGGCAGCTCTGTTAGTAAAATCTGCTGACTTTAGCATTCTTAGCTGCCGTGTATGTTAGTTCTTAACATGCTTTTCTTCTGGTATCATCTTTTTTAAGGCTCTATATCGCACATTTCCAGAGATATGGCCTTTTCAATATGGCTCCAGGAGTAAATTGTTAAATTGTGCTCATTTTCAGTGAACCAAATGTGGGTCACTTTGCATTTAGCTGAAAGTTTTTTCTTTTGAAGAGAAATGTTTGAAGAACAAATAAGGCTGAAACTAAAAATATATCTTGTTTCCCTCTATCAAAACAATTGCATAGAACAGACCCGTCTGAGTGACAAAATACTCTTTCTCATGAAGTATTAAAGGTATCTTGATATAATTGTAGATTCTGGTTGTCAACTAAAGTTTCTTTTCATATGTTAATTTTTAAGGCCTTATATGGTTTAGTCCCAGAGATATGGGGATCTCAGTGTGGCTCCATGGGCAAATCTTCAATGGTCAAAAGCCAAATATCAAACCAAAGTTTTTAGCCAGGCACCTCTGGTTGAGTTGACACAGAATTACCATTTAGTGCTTTATACAATACAGATTGTTTCAAAGCAGTTTCACAGACATAAATATAACAGAATACTATATTTCAGTATCAGTCTATAATTCAGATCAGTTCAGTGTTCACTGATGTTTGTGCAGATGTGTATCGCTCTGGAATGGGAGGAATGGACAGAGACTTCGGCAGAAGGGACATGGGGATGAACCGCCCGTTCGGAGACTCGTTTGGAGGTGTGTGTGTGCGTGTGTGCGTGTGTGTGTGTGTGTGTGTGTGTGTGTGTGAGAGTGCGTGTGTGTGAGAGAGAGAGTGAGTGTGTGTGTGAGAGAGAGTGAGCGTGTGTGAGTGCGTGTGTGAGAATGAGTGTGTGTGTGTGTGAGAGTGAGTGCATGTGTGTGAGAGTGCGTGTGTGTGAGAGAGAGAGTGAGTGTGTGAGAGAGAGAGTGAGTGTGTGAGAGAGAGAGTGAGTGTGTGAGAGAGAGAGTGAGTGTGTGAGAGAGAGAGTGAGTGTGTGAGAGAGAGAGTGAGTGTGTGAGAGAGAGAGTGAGTGTGTGAGAGAGAGAGTGAGTGTGTGAGAGAGAGAGTGAGTGTGTGAGAGAGAGAGTGAGTGTGTGAGAGAGAGAGTGAGTGTGTGAGAGAGAGAGTGAGTGTGTGAGAGAGAGAGTGAGTGTGTGAGAGAGAGAGTGAGTGTGTGAGAGAGAGAGTGAGTGTGTGAGAGAGAGAGTGAGTGTGTGAGAGAGAGAGTGAGTGTGTGAGAGAGAGTGCGTGTGTGTGTGTGAGAATGAGTGTGTGTGTGAGAGTGCGTGTGTGTGTGAGAGAGAGTGAGTGTGTGTGAGAGAGAGAGTGAGTGTGTGAGAGTGAGTGAGTGTGTGTGTGTGAGAATGAGTGTGTGAGTGCGTGTGTGTGTGAGTGAGTGTGTGTGTGTGTGTGTGAGAATGAGTGTGTGTGTGAGAGTGAGTGCGTGTGTGAGTGCGTGTGCGAGTGTGTGTGTGAGTGTATGAGAGAGAGTGAGTGTGAGTGTGTGTGTGAGAGTGAGTGCGTGTGCGCGTGTTTGAGTGTGAGTGTAAGTGCGTGTGTGTGCGCATGTGTGAGTGTGTGTGAGAGAGTGCGTGTGCGCATGTGTGAGTGTGTGTGTGAGAGTGAGTGTGTGAGAGAGAGAGTGAGTGTGTGTGTGTGTGTGTGAGTGAGTGCGTGTGCGTGAGTGTGAGTGTAAGTGCGTGTGTGTGTGTGTGAGTGTGTGTGTGAGAGAATGAGTGCGTGTGAGTGTGTGTTGATGGTGATGCTGACTCTCTGTTCTCTGTCCATCAGGTGGAGGATATGCAGGAATGGGGAATGCTGGGATGGGACCCATGGGCTCTGGATTAGGTCACTCATCTCATGCTCTCACACACAAAATTACATTTATATATACTTCATTTTGATTTGACATAAACCCTATTTAAGGGTTTCTGCAGGTCATAAAGCATCTTAATTCACATTCCATAAATTAAAGCAGAAAGTTTTAAAGTTGTGGCATTAAATGTTGCATGCAATACAGTAGGGCTGCACGATAAATCGCAATGAAATCGCATTGCGGGGGGGGGGTCTTACAAGGATAAATAAAGAACTGTTTTTTTTTTTTTCCATTAAGTTTTGTATAGTATTTTTCTTTACTTCAAAAACTATGTCTAAAAAGGGTAATATTTTTTGTATTTGAGGTCAGAGCTGTGGGAACAGTGAAGAGAGAGAGAGGGCAAACATATTGCATTTTAGGTCAGCATTGTCGTCTAATCAGCCAATATTGTCTTAAATAGCCTGCATAGCACTTCTTTTATAACATGGGATTTTGACCAAATATATTCAATCTTGATTTTTGTCAAATGTTGCAACAATGTTAAAAAAAAAAATTTTGTGTGTGAGAAAAATTAGTTTTGAACGTATAACATAATAAAAAATATTTAAAAAAAATACCTTCAAGTAACTACAAATAAGCATGTAAAGCAAATATCTTTAAAAGAAATTCCGTGCGGAGCATGCCCCCGATCCACGCAATGTTCTCACCTTTTTCCTCCCTTACCTGTTTGCGTCTCACAGAAGGATTTATTACAACACTCGACTGACGTTATGAAGTGAGTTTGGAGTAAAAACATGTTATTAAATGTGGTATTTTCACAAATGGAGCAGCATTTACTACACAGAGCCGTAGTTCACGGAGAAGCTACGCAAACAGCTTTCATTATCGCAGAACGATTTCTTCGATTTCATTATGAAAGCGTAGCTTGTCAGTGAACTACAGCTCTGTGGAGTAAATTCTGCTCCTTCTGAAAGCACATGCTGGAGATTTACTACTAATCACAGAACCGGCAGAACCAGAATCACATTCAATTAATCGTGCAGCACTACAATACACAGTTTCTTCCTCAGTATTTTTGTTTTGTTTTCCAGCACAAATATTTCAACATCCTTAAATCAAGACACATTTACTGGAGATGCAAAATGAACACATGAGGACTTGTTTTCTGAGCAATTGAACAGTTTATCTTAAATAAAAATAAATAAAATAAACTGAAAAATATGAAATCTTGTTTTCTGATAAATTTATAAAAGTGAAAATAATGTAATTTTTCAAAGGAAAAATAGGGTTTCTTATCTAATTTTTCCATCTATCTTGATTTATGAATAGCTTTTTGTGCGTGTGTGTGTGTATGTGTGTGTGTGTGTGCGCGTGAGTGAGAGTGTGTGCGTGAGAGTGTGTGTTTGTGTGAGAGAGAGAGAGAGCGCGAGTGTGTGCGTGAGAGAGAGAGAGAGTGTGTGTGCGTGTGAGAGAGTGTGTGAGAGAGAGTGTGTGTGCGCTTGCG